TTACCGTCTTAGGGACACCTTGCCTGTGTGTCCCTTACAGATCATTGTCTGTTTAATGGTTGTCTCCACGGTGCCTACAATAGGACCTGGCACATTCGGGACAAATAGTCCTGTGCTGAGCAGAACCCACCACAGTAGGAATTTGTCTCCAATTCTCAGGTGAGGAATTATAACCAACACAGTGTCTTAATTGTCCTTCCTGCCAGGTACCTCTTCTCCCAGTTAAATGACTTTTCTGCCTGCCAAGAGATTGGCGTGTTGTGCGGGGAGCTGGGCCAGGTCTTGCAGGAGGTAGGAGGACAGGGGCCAGGCCAGGCCAGGCCCCAGAGCTTTTTATAACCTGTGAATCAGACCAAGATTGGGGCGGGGGGGGGGGGTGAGAGCTGGGGGAGGAGAGAACAAGAATAGGAGAAGCCCTGCCCCTGGGTCTGGGCTACGAGGCAATGGGGTGGGTCATGGGGTGTCCCTGGCAGAAGCTCGGGTGGCGTTTGGGAAGGATGGCAGGAGAGGACATGTGTGGTAATGGTTGAGTCAGGTGTCATGGGAGAGGAATGAAACCTTGGAGTTGAAACACTGAGACCATTATAGTTCTGGCAAGGAGACCCGTGTAGAGAAAGCAAGGGAGGGCCATCAGGGGACCTTCTCAGCCCCACCCCGCGTCCTCAGGGGAAAGTGGCCCCCACCCCTTTCTAAAAGGGGCCCCCTGTGCTCTCTGCTTTCAGGACTGTCCAGAAGCAGAGAAGGAAAGCAGCACCCTGAGGATTGTGAGTCTCGGGGCTGGGTGGGGAGGAGCAGGGTATGGAATCAGACTCGTCCAGACAACCTGCCACGTTCCCCCAGTGCAGCCATGTGGCCGGGATCTGTCACAACATCCTGAGCTGCACCCCAGAGGAGCTGCTGGAGCAGAGAGCTCTGTTGGAGCAGGTGCAGCTGGACGACCCTTCGGTGAGCTCTGACCCCTCACCTCCTCCTGCAGACCCCCGGCAGCCTTGCCTGAACCCTGAAACATGGTCCGGGAGTCCCAGCATCTTGTATTACTAAGTCTGTTGTGTACCGATGCTTAATTGGAGTCCCAGAGGACCTACCTAGAGTCTCACCATTGCTGGGCACCTTTCCCGAGCCAGAGGGGCCTGGGTGACGCATTCCAGGCCTGACAGGGATTAATAGAGATGAGAGGGAACACTTATGCTTTAAACTTGACCAGTTAAGAGAACCAGAGTTGCCGGGTAGTGGTGGCGCACGCCTTTAATCCCAGCACTCAGGAGGCAGAGCCAGGTGGATCTCTGTGAGTTTGAGGCCAACATGGTCTACAGAGCGAGACCCAGGACAGGTACCAAAACTACACAGAGAAACCCTGTCTGGAAAGAGAGAGAGACAGAGAGAGAGAGACAGAGAGAGAGACACACAGAGAGAGACAGAGAGAGAGAGAGAGAGAGAGAGAGAGAGAGAGAGAGAGAGAGAGAGAGAGAGAGAGAGGAGAGAGAGAGAGAGAGAAGAGAAGAGAAGAG